TAGTTCGAAAAAAAACTCAGTTCAATAACTATCAATCCTAAGCTAAACCTTTTGTATGCAATAACGAAAATTTTTACTGCTTAGCCCACCCCACCCCTCATTCCTGAATCCGCCCCTGATACGAAGTGTACTATTATGTTAGGGGTGGAAATTAAAGGTGGTGTTTTATTATTCCTATATCTTAGGGAATATATAACATGGACTCCTATTTACGAAATGAGACCATGTCATATTACTATTTATGAAAATTACTTTTAAGTTTCTTTTACAAGTATGATGGGCTGTATATTATAATTTCCTCATAATCAAGGTTTTTCCAAAATTCTACAATACCCATTGTTTTATATTAGTTAATTACTCCCTCCATTCCACTAACAATGGAACAAAAGGAAGAGACACACAAATCAATAAAAAATAATTTATATGATTGATCTTGAATTGATAAAGTAAGAATAAAGTAAGAATAATGATTATGAATCACACAAATTTTATCAAAATTTTATATAGGACACTATTAGTGGAGCAGACCGAAAATGTAAAATGAGACAATCTAAGAGAGTCATCATTGACTATTGACGTAAACATAGTTCTATCTCTATTTCCTAACTTCCTTAAGAAAAAAATAGCATAAGAAATGGATAACATTTGACAATAAGTATATAATTTTTTTACTTTTGACCTAATAAATGTAACCAAGACAATGACTTAGTCGTTCAAATATTTTTTGAAATAATTACAAAAATGTGACTAATGACTAGAGTAGTAATAGAATCAAAATAACTTACGTTCAATTTTTAAACATAAGTTACTATTTACTATGATTATACATTATTGTAGTAACCTAATAGTCATATTTCTGTAAATAACTATTACTTTGATAATATTTTTGAAAAAAACCCGCCATTATATATTACTCATTTGCATTAATAAGATGCCTATTATATAGGCACATTCGACGACTTTTTTAAAACCCCATGAAATACAATAGGTGCCTTTTTTCCTTCCAAACATTAAAAAAAGTGCTTCCCAACTTTTGGCTTAAAAAAGCTAGAAAGAGTGTTTTCAAGTGATAACTTCTACTTAAATTAACACTTGAAAGCTAAAAGCTAGAATCTGATTTTTATTTTTTCTATTAGACAAAAAACACTTATTTTACCAAGCACTTATTATGAACAAATTTACAACAAAATAGAGCAAAACAGTGTCAAACAGTGCTAAAACTTGCAAGTAAATTTTCTTAAATTTTAGAGATAAGAGATCAAATATAAATCATGCTTAAAATACATACATACTATCGTATTTACTTCGATTACTTTTAACTCCATTTAATTAAGAGCTTATCTAAAGTTAGTAGATTGACCAAGACTAAATTGGCTCAACCACAATTCAAAAATGTTAATTTCAGGTCATAGTGGCTGAAAAGTCGTTCTAATGTTTCCTAATTTGAGGTCTAATATAATCCTAAATATTATTGCAACTTTAAGCTTTAATTTATAAAAGTAATCAGGAGATCGGGAGATGTCTTGGTCAAAGGTTGTATCATATCGAGCCATTTAATTTGTGTATATATACATATTGACTAATTCATTTTGAGGGAAGTAATATATTTTTCCTGCAATATTGCGATTAAGATGAAGATTCTTCTACATTTTGTACTGCTTTTTGTTCTTCCAGTACTTTTCTCAAAACTATGCCTTTCATCTCAACCGCTGCGGCTGCAGCCACACAAAATCCCCAGGCTCACTCCATTTCACAACTCCATCCTACGGCGGCAACGCTCCGCCCCAAACGCGGCGGAAGAGACGACGTCCCTTCCTCCCCATTTCAAGACCTTTTACTACAAGCAAACGTTGGATCACTTCAATTATGCACCTCAGAGCTATGACACCTTTGACCAGAGGTACATAGTCAACTCCCAGCACTGGGCTCCTGGTGGGCCCATCTTTGCATGGCTCGGCGAGGAAGCTCCAGTCGATGAGGATCTTCCAATTATCGGATTTCTTACCGATAATGCCCCTCGTTTCAAGGCTCTTCTTGTCTACATTGAGGTGAGTGCGCAACGTACGCACGTAGTACGCTTGGTTTTTGCAGCATTAGGATTTTTGCACTATTCACACACCTTATTTTGATTACGATTTTCTATTAATATATAAAATCAAATTATTATGTATAAAATGTTATTAAGTTTCTATTGATGTGAATTTTCAAAATATTAACTTTTTATAATTTTACGAATACGTAATTAGATATAATTACGATCAAAGTTGCGTGTTTGCAAACGTGAAAGTTAAACTGTTGCAACTATTAAAGAACCGATAAAGTATCACTTTATTATCTATTACTACTTCCTAAACATACTTCCCGGTTTGAATCGGCAAGCTTATTAAGAAAGTGGAATAAAGTGGAAACTGGAAATGTATGGTTTTAGTTGTGTTAGAAAAAAGTAAAAAGAATGTGAGCCACACAAATTGTCCAAAAAGAGAAAGTGAGAAGTATTTTTTGGAACGGCTCAAAAGCGAAAGTGAGAAGTATTTTTTGGAACGGCTCAAAAGGGAAAGTTAGAAGTATTTTTAGCTAGGAACGGAGGGAGTAATTATTCAGTGTGTGACTTCAACATCCATTTTCACAATTAGACACTTGGATCACATTTTGTCGGACAAAGGGAGAATGCTTACCTCCGTCCTAAATACGGAGTAGTATAGAGTTCAAGAAATCCAAACAAAACAAAAAGAGAATCGAAGAGAAAATGATTTAAATTGCAGGACCATGCACACTAAATGGATCCTGTTTTGATGATAAAATATAAAGGATAAAAATAAAAATAGTCCTTAAACAATCATCACCATATCATTCAATTCACCATATCATTTTAGTGTTATTTGTTCTTGATCTATGTAGTGCATATTAATTTAGTCCCTCTGTCATTCTGTACCGTTATATTGGAGAGCAATGTTTAATATATTGTCATGTAAACATGCATACCACTTTGTACTACGTACTTAGACATTAACTACATGTAATTATTAGGGGTGGGATCGGGATGATCCCGATCCCGATTGCCCAAATCCCGATCCCGTCCCGATTAAGTCGGGATCCCGATCGGGAATCCCGCTTAATTCCGCTAAATACCGACAATGAACTATCAAACATAAAATTATGTAATTTCTTTAGTTAAACACTAACTTTGATATTTAGCGGTTTCAAAATTATTCTCTGTTCATTGTTATACCATATTTATCATCATCATCTACTTATAAAGTTTATTGTAATAATTATCTTCTCAAATTCACACTATTACATACTTTTAGAATAATTTTTATTTGTAACTTCAATTAATTAATAGTATAATTTTTTAATAAGCTATCAAGGCTTAGTGAAACTTACTTCAAACATTTTATAAAAATCACTAAAAGAAGGATGTGTAGACTCATTGAGAAACTTTGTGACCAATGAATATAATGTATAAATACATATTATGATTATTTACTAAAGAAAGAAATCTTAGTCTCGATCATTTTAAAGAGTTCATCAGAACCGCAAAATTTATAATATTGTTGTGATTTAGATTGTCGGGATCAAGAATAATCTCTATTTAGTTAGGATCCTGAATATTCATTTTCAGACAAATGCGGAATAGTTTTAGAAATTTGATATTGTAAGATATATCGTAGTAAAAAATTAATCTATGTAAGGAATAAGTAATTAAAAAAGATATTCAAATATTTAGATACATATTCATTTTTTTATAAATTTATATTCATTTTTTATATATTCATATATAATTATATACATGTATATATATATATAGTGTCGGGATGTCGGGATTTTCCCGATCCCGACTTTTTTTTTAAAAAAAAATCCCTAGTTGGGAAAAATTCCCGACTAGTCGGGATCAGGATTATCGGGATCGGGAGTCGGGAGTTTTTTCCCAGCCCTAGTAATTATATGTCATTTTGATCATTTTTTAAAGTAAATATTTTTGGAAAAATTGAAAACAATAATCCCAACTATTGCTGCTCCGCTGAAAATAATCTCAACTATTGATTATTTTTGTATAATCCCAACTATATAGACTATCCGCCAATAATGGTCCATGACCATATATTACCTCTATAAAAAGTGAATTTTAAATAGAAATTAAGCGTAAAAATTAAAAGTTGAGATTATTTATAGGGATTACTTGTTATATCTCATCTCATCCACTTTAGAAACTACAAGAATTTATTCATAGGGACCATTATTGGAGGAAGGTCCCTAAAGTTGGGATTATTCTGTAATAATCAATAGTTGGGATTATTATGAGCGGACCGCCAATAGTTGGGATTATTACTATCAATTTTTCCAATATTTTTTTGGTTTAGAGCTGAGGCTTAAATGATGCAGTAGAAATAGTAAGGCATTTTGTCTAATCGTAAATTAAATTATGCAATTGTCTTAAGACTCGTTGTAATATGTACTACAACGAGTAAAGATAATTAAAATGATAGATTTATTCGTTTAGCTAGGGCTCAAAGTACGTGCTATAGTGATGATATTTAAATAAGTTCATTAGGATAGATACTCTTATAGTCTTATTTATGCACTTTACTCTTAATATAAAGTTCATTATTTAGTTCTTCATTGTCCCAATATAAACTCTCATTTCCTTATATGATAAATAATTTGTGGTTGATATTATTTCTTTCTCACAACTTTGACTACACCATTTTCACTTTCTTAATTATATTCATGGGTCAAGTGAAAGCAAAATTTGATTAGAGGATGCGCAGGAGGTAGTAAATGGATAGGATGCTCTCAATTATACATAGCTAGCTCACTAGCTCAACACAACAGCCACATCATATCCCAACACACGCTACATGCATGTAGCATATATCTTGGAGAAGCTAAATGACTTGAATCTTTTTCATGAATGGATAGATATATGTTGCCTTGTTTTCTAATCATAATATATTGTGTTAATCATATTTGTGTCTTTTTGGTAAACAGCATAGGTTCTACGGGAAATCAATTCCATTTGGATCAATAAAGCATGCTATTAAGCATAAAAAACTTCGTGGTTATTTAAGTTCTGCTCAAGCTTTAGCAGATTATGCAGAGGTTTTGCTACGCGTAAAACAAGATTATAGCGCTCAAAGTTCATCAATCATTGTTGTTGGAGGATCTTATGGGGGCAGTATGAACCAACTTTACTATTCTTTCCATTTTTGTTTTGTTTGTACACATACTTATTACATGCATATTTGTTACTCCATCCTTCTCGCAAATGTTTGCCAAATTGAATTTTCTTGATTAATGAAAATCAATTTTGACTAATGATATATATTTTGTAATACGAAATTATCTTGAACATGAAAGTTATATCAAAATGTTCCTTATCCAAAATATTTTCATCAAAGTATAAAATTTATATATTATAAAGAAATATAGTAATCAAACTCATCGTTCAAAGTTTGTCATCATTCATCAATAATAGCCAATATGACAAACTTTTTCGAGACGGAGGTATAGTAGTACATTTTATCCACTGTCCTTGTATATTTTTGTCATTTATTGAGTATTATTTCTATATACATAATTATTTACTTTGTATATATTTACTAGCTTTCAAGACCTTGCATCATATGTTAGAATTAAACTTAATTATCCTTATTTCAATGTAAAAAACTTTTTGTAAAAAAAAGTATTTGAATAATTTTATTATATTCATACATATTTATTCATATGCATGGTACAATTTTTTTCTTGCAATATTAAATTGATTTTAATGAAAAAAGTATTTTATTAAAAAACAATGTTGATTTTTATATTTATTTAATATTAAATAATATGAAAAAATGTGATCACATGTTGGTGTACGAAAAATATGTGTGTGTGGTGTGGGTGTGATAAAGGTTAAAAATAATTGAAATATTTTTCTAATTTATTTTCAAATTAACATTTTAATTTAGGATTAAAATAGGAGAAATATTTAAAACTATGAATTGAAAAATTCAAATTAAGGAATTGAAATAGTATTAATCAAATATAGTATAATAAGTAAATTATGAGTAGATACACATTGTATTATTCTAAAAATTAAATATGAGACTAAAAAAGTTTGGAAATTCCAAAATAGGACTTCCATGTTTTTATTCCCAAAATAGGACTAATTACTGTCATGTTTTGGCAGTATCAGACTTCAAACATGGCAGTATTTTCCAAATTTGGCAGTAATTAGTCCTATTTTGGGAATAAAAACATGACAGTCCTATTTTGGAATTTTCAAACTTTTTTAGTCTCATTTCGGGAACTTTCCCTTTTTCATATTGTTATATTCTCTGTAAAAGTATAGATCGGAGTTGATATTTTTACTGAATGTGCATCCATCAAGGATAAGAAAAATAAACAAATTAAATTAATTTAAAATTTATGGATTCTCCATACTAATTTCATATAGAGATTTTGAATTAAGGAATTAAAACAGTACTAATCAGATATGTATACTTTGTTATTAGTAAATTATGAGTACATATGCATATTGTATGATTCTCGAATTAATTATAACACATATTTTTTCTTATTATTTTATTATCTGTAACATTACATAAATGATATTTTATAGTACATCATGTGCAGGCATTAGAGATATAAAAAATAAAATAAAATAAATTGAAATATTTTCACAATTGTGTATTCGAAAGTTATTTTTCTAGCGAATTGTTGACATACTCTCATAAACTTGTCAAGTACAAACATTTAAAACGGGGTTCATATATACATGTATAGTACTACGTACAAAATTTATGATAAGCACAAGACTCCTATATACTAACTTGTAATTGAGTAATAGATTTGATAAACAAAATGTTTATATTGTAGGTGAAAGAATTTCAGTTTGAACAAGGAATTAGACTAATCATTTGATGGGAAAAACAGTCCCAAACGGTAACTAATAAAATGCGGAATTAATCTCCGTTTGACTAAAATTTCCCCAACTTGAATGAACCTTTGAGGATGCAAACAAATAGGGTGTTCTTAATGCAATTAGAACACACACAATATTGCTGCCACACACCAATATAATCAACTAAAACAGTAAGCACACACCACACACAAACACCGAAATTTTAGCGTGGAAAACCCGTTAACTAGGGAAAAACCACGGGACCATTTTGGCCGCTTAAATCCACTATCATCATCAAAGGAGCAGTACAAAGTCTTCTCTAGATAATACTAGAGGCATACAAAATCATCATATCCTTGGAAGTAAGCACATCAAGGTGTATGGAATCAAATAGAGCCAAGATAAGAAAAATATCACCAGAAAAATAGCTACTGTCCAGACCAACGAAACCCGACCTCCAGACCTCAAAACTCGATCTCCACTGTCCAGAATGTTGACCCAGATGCTGTGAAGCTGCTGTCCAAAAATCACGACGATCCAACGGTTCAATCTCCGGGAAACGGAATTTTTCTGCTGCTGCCTGCTGAAAAACGGGATGAGCATTTCAGCTCATGTTTTGTGACTTGTTCTCTCTTTTCTGCTGCTCTCTTTCTGTCCTCATGTGTTTAGATAGTAGCTAACCCATATTTTATTATTAGCTCCCAAAAAAGAAAGTCAAAGAAGACTTTTAATGGGCTCAATACTTGGGCTTTCCTCATGGGTCAAAAACAAAGAAAAACCCAACAAATCTCCCCCTTTTTGACTTATGAGGAAGAGTTCGCCATACCGGCGATGGAGCAACATACTTTCAACTTTTCCCTTGCTAGAACCTTCGTCAACATATCGGCACCATTATCATCGGTATGAACTTTATCAAGTTCAAACAGTTTGTCTTCAAGTGCATCTCTAATCCAATGATACCTCACATCAATATGTTTGGTTCGTTTGTGAAACATAGAATTTTTAGCAAGGTGAATGGTACTTTGATTATCACAAAGAACCACATAGCGATGTTGAATAAAGCCAATCTCTTGCATAAATCTTTTGAGCCATAATAGCTCCTTACAAGCTTCTGTTGCAGCCACATACTCAGCCTCGGTGGTGGATAAAACCACACACTTTTGCAGTCTCGATTGCCATGACACAGCTCCCCCTGCAAAAGTCATCAAATATCCAGAAGTGGATTTCATGTTGTCCTTATTTCCTGTCATATCAGAATCAGTATAACCAACAAGTACTGGCTCCCCATTTCCAAATGTTATACCCAATTTGGAAGTACCACGTAGATATCTGAGAATCCACTTCACTGCTTCCCAATGCTTCTTACCTGGATTTGACAGAAAACGACTAACAACACCTACTGCATGGGCAATATCAGGCCGTGTGCATACCATAGCATACATCAAACTCCCTACAGCTGAGGCATAAGGAACTCTATCCATCTCTTCAATCCTCTTCTCAGAAGATGGACAATCTTTATCTGTCAACCTGAAGTTGGTAGTAAGAGGTGAACTAACCTCTTTAGCTTTGTCCATGTTGAATCTGCGAAGCACCTTCTCAATGTATTGCTCCTGTGACATGTGTAGCTTCTTCAAAGCTCTATCTCGAGTGATCCGAATGCCAAGAATCTGTTTTGCTGGCCCCAAGTCTTTCATAGCAAAAGACTTGCTCAATTGCATCTTCAGCTGAGTAATTCTTTCTACATTCTTGCCAACAATTAACATGTCATCAACATATAACAATAAAATGATGAAATCATCATCACCAAACCTCTGGAAGAAAATACAATGGTCTGAAGTAGTCTTTCGGTAATTTTGCTCCCCCATAACTGACTCAAACTTCTTGTACCACTGTCTTGGTGCTTGCTTCAACCCATAAAGACTCGTTTGAAGTCTACACACATAACCTTCTTTTCCCTTAACCTGAAACCCTTCAGGTTGCTCCATGTAGATTTCTTTATCCAAGTCACCGTGAAGGAAAGCTGTTTTGACATCCATCTGTTCAACCTCAAGATCAAGGCTGGCTGCCAAACCCAGAACAACACGAATAGATCCCATCTTCACGACCGGAGAGAAAATCTCATCAAAATCAATACCCTTTCTCTGACTGAACCCTTTGACCACCAATCTAGCCTTGTACCTAGGTTGTGAGGTGTGCTCTTCAGTCTTCACTTTGTAGACCCACTTGTTCTTCAAAGCTCTCTTGCCTTTAGGCAACTTCACCAACTCAAATGTATTATTTTCATGTAAGGAATTCATCTCATCTTGCATGGCTTCAACCCACTCCCTTTTGTGCTCATCTTCCATGGCCTCTGCATAACACTCAGGCTCTCCCCCATCAGTGAGTAAGACATACTCATTAGCTGAAAAACGGGTGGAAGGATGACGATCTCTTGTAGACCGCCTAAGTGGGACAAATGGTGGCACGTCTGGTATTGGTATCTCTGAATGAAATTCTTCATCCACCTCTGGCTGTTCTGGAACATCAGTATCATGTTGTTCATCATTCTGAACATCATTATCAAGAGATGGTTCTACATGATGAGGAGGCACTGGATCCAAATCAGTAACATCATCATTATGTTGAGGAACTGTATCTTTCTTCTCAGCATCTTTCAAGGTTTGATCTTTCACAAACACAACATCTCGGCTTCGAATAAGTTTCTTGTGGATTGGATCATATAATCTGTAACCAAACTCATCTTGGCCATAACCCAAGAAAACACATGGTTTGGACTTCACATCAAGCTTTGATCTTTCATCTTTAGGAATGTGCACAAAAGCTTTGCATCCAAGGACCCTCAAATGACGGTAAGAAACATCTTTGCCACTCCAAACCCTGTCAGGCACATCAAAAGACAAAGGAACACAAGGAGTTAGATTAATAACATGTACCGCTGTATTCAAAGCTTCTCCCCAGAATGAATTTGGCAGCCCTGCATGTGACAACAAACATCTGACACGCTCCATCAAAGTTCTGTTCATCCGCTCTGCTAATCCGTTCAACTGCGGTGTCTTGGGAGGACTCTTTTGATGTCGAATACCATGGTCTCTACAATAAGCATCAAAGGGGCCAATGTATTCCCCTCCATTATCTGTCCGAATACATTTGAGCTTCTTTCCAGTCTGTCTCTCAACCGAGGCATGAAACTGCTTAAACACCTCAAATACTTGATCTTTAGATTTCAAGGTATAAACCCAAACCTTTCTGGAGTGATCATCAATGAATGTGACAAAGTAGGAGCAACCACCAATTGTCCTAGTCTTCATAGGACCACAAACATCAGAATGCACCAGATCAAGTATACTCTCCTTCCTGGAAGGAGGATGGCTCTTAAAGGAAACCCTGTTCTGTTTACCTGCCAAACAGTGCGAACACTTCTTTAAATGAATATCATGCACACCCGGTAACACATTTCTCTTCAACAAAAGAGACATCCCCTTTTCACTCATGTGACCAAGTCTCTTATGCCATAAATCAGTCATGTCAGTATTCACCACAGCGTTGACCCTATCCTTGAAGATCTTCGGATGTGTCATGTACAACTTTGAGCATCTTTTACCTCTAGCCACGATCAAAGAACCACGAGTGAGTTTCCATATTCCATTACCAAAGTTGTTGCTGTAACCATCATCATCAAGTAAGCCTGCGGAGATCAAATTAAGTCTCATATCTGGAACATGTTTTACATTATGTAAAACCAACTCTATCCCAGTGTCAAACTTCAAACAAATTTCTCCGATGCCTGCAATCTTTGATAGTCCATTATTACCCATCCTAACATTACCAAAGTTACCTGGAGTGTAAGATGAATAAAAATCCCTCTGTGATGTTACATGACACGTAGCACCACTATCAACAACCCAACTGGAATCATCATGTGTAATGTTGACCATATCAAGATCAGAACAAATAAGGAACTCATCGGTAGTAGTGTTAACTTCAACATTGCCATTACCACCCTCATCTTTCTTATGGTTCTTTTGATTGTTGTAATCGCTCTTCTTCTTCTCCTTTTTCAATTGCCTGCAGAACCGTATTGTGTGGCCTTTTCTACCACAATGATAGCACTCAAAATCAGCAAACTTTCCTTTGGATTTACTTCGATGCTTTCCTTTGTTACCTGGACCTCTACTCTGACTTCTCCCCCTGCTTTCTGTAACTAAGACATCAGAATGTGAAGAGGAACCTTGTGACTTTCTTCTCATCTCTTCATTTAAAACACTGCCTTTGGCTAATTCCATGGTGATAATACCATCTGGTGCAGAGTTGGACAATGATGTCCTAAAAGTCTCCCATGAGTCCGGTAAAGTGCCAAGGAGCCACAAGCCTTGTATCTCATCTTCAAACTTGATACCCATTCCTGCAAGTTGATTTATGATTCCCTGAAAAGAATTCAAATGATCAGTGATAGGAGTTCCATCATGGTATTTCAAGATCATCATCTGTTTTATTAAGAACAATTTATTGTTCCCGGTCTTTCGAGCATACAACTGTTCAAGCTTGTTCCACAAACTGCGAGCATGAGTTTCCCCGCTAATATGGTTCAAAACATTATCATCAACCCATTGGCGAATATACCCACAAACCTGTCCATGCAAAATATTCCACTCTGCATCTGTTTTACTTTCAGGTTTATCAGTAGTAAACACAGGCAAATAATAATCCTTCAGATGAAGTAGGTCTTCCATTTTGCCTTTCCAAACATGATAATTAGAACCATTCAAATTGATCATCCTACTTGTGTTTGCTTCCATCATTCAAACAAGTCTAACTCGATACAGAAGAACTCGGCTCTGATTGTCACGCCCCGGACCGCGTCCGTGCCACGTAGACAACCGCCATACAACCCAATAAGAACAACGTAGTTCATCCTTATCAAATCATACAAGGCGTCCGTTAAGTTCTATTGCCAAGTCGATTAGTAAACCCATACAATCAACATCAATATATATTAGTCAAACAAATGCGGAAAATAAGATATGTTTGATTCTTAGCCACACGTGGCAAATACGGGCACGCAGGCCCCCAAATGTTTTGATAGAAAACATTGTTAAAATATATCCATGAGCAGTTCATCAATTTTGAATAAGAATGGAAGCACGAACCACGTCTTCCTCCTTGATCAATCACCCTAGGCGAAGGTGCAGGTAGTAGGACTCTAGCCTCAACCTGAAAAATGTGAGGGCCCCCGAAGGGGTCAGTACTCCATAGAAGTACTAGTGACAAGCAGGCTATATGAGGAATAACTAATGTTTCAGACACGAGACCCAAAAATAGGATGATACATATATATATATACATATATATATATATATATATATATATATATATAGGTGTAACCATTGTTACCCCATTCCCAAGATAATACATACTGTATATACTTGTAAAATACTTGACCCATAGGTCGTTTCCTCACAAAAAGTCTTTTAGAGATAAGGTACTTACCCAACCTTTCCCCTTTCATCCTGAATGCCTGGCTCACGAGCTACATTCTACCTTCATAATATCCTACCAAGTTTCGGGAGTGTTTACCGTCCCGGGGATGCTCAACCCCACCGAGTTTTAGGATCATTCACTGTCCCGAGGATACTCAACCTCAACCGAGTTTTAGGATCATTCACTGTCCCGAGGATACTCAACCTCAACCGAGTTTTAGGATTGTTTACCATCCTGAGGATACTCAACCTCACCGAGTTTTAGGATTGTTTACCGTCCTGAGGATACTCAACCTCACCGAGTTTTAGGATTGTTTACCGTCCTGAGGATACTCAACCTCACCGAGTTTTAGGATTGTTTACCGTCCTGAGGATACTCAACCTCACCGAGTTTTGGGATCGTTTACCGTCCCGAGGATACTCAACCTCAACCTTATTTCTAACCAAACCCTAACCTGGATATGGCTAACCTTTCATTCACTTAACTATGGACAATACCTAGTCCTATAGTCATATAATAATCCCTAGTAACCAACGTGGGCGGGTCCCACTTGAACGACCCACGTTAACCTGCTCAAAACTGCCTGTTTTGGGCCTAGTCCAATACCCGGTCGGGTATCCAACCTCACCCGGTCGGGTAGGTCGGGGCAGAAGCCCCTGGAACTGATTTTACTTGAGACCCGGTCGGGTCCATACCCTTACCCGGTCGGGTCTAGTAAGACAGTGGCTTCTGGAGCCATTTTTAATCAATAACCGTTCGGGTATGTACCCATACCCGGTCGGGTATCACCTTTGCCTCGGCGGTCAACGCCCGTTTGACCGCCCAAACGGAGTCCGATTAACGCGAAATTTTATACGCATGTACTCCTTGACGTCCTTGATCCAAAAATACCATTTTGGATCCCTAGAGAATTGTACATAATAAGTTATCACATTTTTAATCACCAAACATACAAAACATGCTTTTCAACTATGTTTTATATATAACCGTGGCATAAGCCAATACTTGATTTACTTTAATCATTCCATAAAACATATACTTGATTACTTTAGGTAATCTCATGCCTCAATCAAAAGTTATAAAGCATATAGCCGTCTTCTCACCTTAATGAAGCTTATGAAGTTCTAGCCTTTCTTATTGAGCTCCGGTGAAACTCCGGTGAACTTCAACCAACTCCGGCGACAACTCCGGCGACCCTTTCAACCCCGTGAAAGTTCTTGAAATACCTTATACAAGTTAATAACAAGGTTTTATCATCATAAAACCCATATCAATACAAACAACCTCGAAAAGGTTATTTTCCGGTGAACCCGTCAACTTGGCTCTCAAGGTTCGTTTTGGGTATAAACCAACCCTTCAATCCCCATTCTACACTTTTACATGTG